TCTCCCATTGGAATGGAAGCTTCTTGGTGGTAGGAACTCTCTTTCTCTTTGCATTTGTATTTATCGTGTTAGCACAATATAACTGGCTCATAGTAAGTACATAGTATGTGGTTGTGGACAGGAGCAAAAAAATGAAATGTTCTTTCTCCAGTTCCCTGCAGATCTGAGAGCCAAGAATATGGCAGTTGTGACTAGTGTGCTGTCATGAAAAGATATTGCTACGAAGTGAACAGTGGCAGAGATAAAAATTTTCTGTTTTCTTGGAGATGGGGAAAACTTGATTTCTATGTGGTTGCACTTTTTATCCCTTCTTGCACAGAGAAAGATGAGAGCTTGAGTTGTCTAAGTGATAATATGGGAATATAGTGGAAGGCTGAGGGGTAGAGTGGATAGCTCCTTGGATTTTGAATTGAGAAGACCTAAATTCAAACCTGAATGCCACCATACAATACTTGGGTGATTTTGGGCCAGCCACTTCACTCTCTGGGCCCCAGTTTTCTCATGACTAAATTAAGGGGGTAGGAAGAGTTGATGTTAAATTCCTTTTTGTGTGACCTTGGGAAAGTAATTCAGGCCTCCATTTTCTCCTCTGTAAAAGGAGAGATTGGACAAGTTAATTTCATTAAATGCAGGGATTCAAATTGCACCTGATGGGGTGATGGGACCTGGACCCCTAAAAGGAAAAGACCATGTCTCTGAAAGCAACCCAGCCCCTGAATTTTCCCACACTGGCATTTCACCTGAGGCATCTGGCCCATCCCAACCTACCTAGATACTCAATAATCCTTTTAACTGCCCTTTCACTAGTGCTCTCCACTTAATTCCTTTCACTGTCTGCACCTGGACCACCCCAGGCTATTTACTACTCCTTAACCCCATCTAGATCCTTTCTCTGTTGCCCCTAAGCCACTCCAGGCTATTTACCACTCTTTAATCCCATCCAGATCTTCTCACGGTCTTTTCTTGTATATAAGTGCCAATCTTACCCGGATTAAATTGTGCAGATTCTTAGAATCTAGCCTGCTTCTACTGATGTCACAAATAAAATTTGCTAATTTGACTGAAAGAAGGCTTGAGTGGTCAAATTCTTTCAGAGCAGACCCCCTGTACCCTTGCATTTCAGGATTCCCAGCACCCCAAAGCACAATACACCCACAATTAGTCCTGTTGGTTGAGAGTTGTTAGCCTGGGTTTGTAGAAACCATTGAATGAATTGGGTCCAGAGGGTTTGTAGGTGTAGAAGATGCCATTCCTTTACATTCCTTCAGAGAAGAAGAGCATGTCTCTAGGGCATTTCCAGGCCAGGGAGAGAATTGTGGTTGCTGAGGAATCAGCCAGGGGAACTTTAGTCTGTTAGGGGCCCCAGGTTACATGGAGTTTTCAGAACATAGTCCTGCTATATCCAGCTGTCCCATTACTAGCTGGGTAATGGGGTCAGGGAACAAGGACGAGTAGTAAAAGAGTAGTGTAGTATGGTACAATTGTATCTTTTTTTTTTTTGGCTAGGCAATAGGGTTAAGTGACTTGCCCAGGGTCAAACACCTAGTAAGTGTCAAGTGTTTGGTCTGAGGCTGGATTTGAATTCAGGTCCTCCTGAATCCAGGGCTGGTGCTCTATCCTCTACACCACTTAGCTGCCCCACAACTGTATCTTTTTAAAAATAATTTATTTATTTTTGGTTTTCAACATTTACTTCCATAAGATTCTGAGTTTTAAATTTTCTTCCTCTCCCTCTCCTCCCCCCTCCCCAAGACAGCATGCGATCTAATACAGGCTTTACTTATACATTCATATTGTGAGAGATGAACTCTCAGAAGTGAAGCCTCCTCAAAAGGTCAATAATTCTTGATTTTTTTTTCAAAATCTTCCCTCAGTCAGACCCTGTTTTTAAGCACTTAACAGAAAGAATAAGCCCTGCCCCACCCCCAACCTGAGCCTTTGCCCTTGGCTTCCCACCTCTTTCCTTGTCTTTGAATTTCCCGCCTGGAATGTAAGCCCCACCTCCCAGTTAAGGGGATAGAAAGAAACTTTTGAGCTTAGAATGTAAGCCCACACCCAGTTAAGGGGGTAAAGGATAGTGGTGAGTGGAGACTTGTTTTGGTGGCGGGTGGAGACTTTGTGTGGTGGGCGGAGATTTGCCTTTTTATAAGGTGGCTCCTGTTACATGGTCTCTCTCTCTCCCTCTCTCTCCATGTGCATTGAAGGAGCAGATAGCCAATTCTCAAGACTGTAATAAAGGTAACCTTTGCTTTCCACCTTGAGAAGTCTCTGAGTTTAATTTGGGTTAGGGTCGCTGTCACACACAATATTAAACATTTTCACATTAGTCACGACGTAAAGAAGAATAGGAACTAATGGGAGGAACCATGAGAAAGAAGAAACAAAACAAAACAACAAAGGAAAAGGAGAGCAAATAGTATGCTTCCATCTGCATTCAGACTCCATAGTTCTTTCTCTGGATGTGGATAGCATTTTCCATCATGAGCCTTTTGGAGTTGTCTTAGATCCTTGTATTGCTGAGAAAGGCTAAGTCTGTCAGTATCAGTCATCAAACGACATGGCTGTTGCTGTGTACAATGTTCTCCTGGTTCTGCTCATTTCACTCTGCATCAGTTCATATAAGTCTTTTCCAGGTTTTTCTGAAGTCAGCATGCTCATCATTTCTTATAGCACAGTAGCATTCCATTACATTCATATGCTACAACTTGTTTAGCCATTCTCCAATTGATGGACATCACCTCGATTTCCAATTCTTTGCTACCACAAAAAGAGCTGCTATAAATATTTTTGTAAGAGGCAGCAAGGTGGCGCAGTGGATACAGCATCTGCCCTGAAGTCAGGAGGACCTGAGTTCAAATCTGGCCTCAGACCAAACACTTGACACTTACTAGCTGTGTGACCCTGCGCAAGTCACTTAACCCCAATTGCCAAAAAATAAATTAAATATTTTTTTACATGTGGGTCCTTTCCCAATTTTTATGATCTCTTTGGGATACAGACTTAGAAGTGGTCTTAGCTTGAAAAGGCCAAGGTCCCCCACTGTATCTGGGACCATCTGCAGTCATCTTGGTCTATATCTTGCCACTGGACCCAGATGGCTCAGGAGGAAAGAGTGAGGCTGGTGACTTGGGAGAGCCCTCCCTCACTTAAATCCAATTCATTTGCATGTCATGGCATCACCTCCCTGATGTCATGGTCCTCTTTGAGAAGGAAGGACAAACAACTTCCATTCTCCTCAGTCGTCTACCAGAATCTTCTGTCTCTGCTTTCATCAATCCTCACAGGGCTGAATTAGAAGGGATGACTAGGCAATCTACTCTTCTCCATCCCCGCCCCACCCCCCATCCCTCCCAGTAGGCTGAAGTTTAGAACTTTCACCACCTTTAACAGTGCTTTTGTGGGATTGGGGTGGGCTGCAGGTGAGGTAGAGCGCTGGTGATTTTGAGAGATTTTGAGATTTTGAGTTAAAAAAAAAAGAAGTCATCTTGTCCAAGTCCATTGTATTTTGCCTAGATGCACATGGGAGATTGGGTATGGAGAGAGAAATCCTGGAATGAAGGAGATCTTGACAGCATGTAGGAATCTAGATGTGGTCCTAGTAACCAGCACTCGGAGTAGCCACTGGGGGTGGGTAATCAGTGAGGTGGGAGGCCACGATTCTATCTTTTTGGCCTAAAGCAGAAAGCATGCTTGGCTTGGCTGCTAGGAAAGCCCAGACCACAAGAAGGGAGGGAGAGTGGATGGTATGAGCATGCTCAGTAGGTTCCTGGTTCAGCATGGGACTGACTGCCCAGTAGGTCTTGCTCTCTAGAGCCACCTGGTGGTTAAAATAAATACAATGTGAATTTTGGCAGGGAAGGAAGTAGCACCAGCAGCTTTTGGCAGGATTCTAAAAGGTCAAAGTGAAACCAAGTGCATTCCAGGCATGAGGGACAACCTGTGCAAAGGAAGGAGGTGGGAGATGGGGTGTCTTATATACGGAACAGTAAAAAATCCCATTGGGATAGAATGCAGAATGAATGAAGGGGAGTAACATAAAATAAGGCTGGAGGAGAGTGGGCTGTGAAGGACTCTAAGAGCTACACAGAGAGGCTTGTGTTTGATTTCAGAGGTACTGGGGAGCCACTGGAATTAACTGAGGAAGGCAATAACACAAGCCTGTGCTTTAGGAAAATTTCTGGCAAAAGGTGAATTAGAGAATAGACGAGACTGGAGGCAAGGATTGAGAGGCTGCTGAAGTACGCAAGGAGGCCAGCTGGTTGATGGCTGTCCTTTGTTCTCCAAGAGGACCAAGATGACATCACTACGTTAGAGTCAAGTTACGATGCATCCGACTGCGGCTGATCAGACCAATGTGAGCTCAGAATGCTCCACCACAGGTCGGGCACATCTCACATTTCTCTTGAGCTACTTCAATTCTGCTTTGCTCATAGAGCACAGAACTGTATCTGATGAGGGCGTGCCATGCTGGGCAGTCCTGTGCCAGTGTCTCCCATGTCATGCAATCAATTCCAGAGTTCTTAAGAGAGACCTTGAGTGTCCTTGCATGGCTTCTTCTGACCCCCATGTGAGTGCTTGCCCTGTGTGAGTTCTCCATAGAATAGTCTTTTTGGCAAGCTTTTGTTTTGCATTCAAACAGCATGGCCAGCCCGTTGGAGTTGGGTTCTCTGTAGCATTCAAATGCTTGGCAGTTTAGTTTGAGAAAGGACCTCAATGTCTGGTATCTTATCCTGCCAGGTGATCTTCAGAATTTTCCTAAGATAATTCAAACGGAAGCTATTTATTTTCTTGGCATGACACTGGTAGATTGTCCAGGTTTCATAGGCATACAACAATGAGGTCAGCACAACGGTTCTCTGTAGACCTTTAGTCCAGTGGTCAGTCTAATAATTCCTCTTCTCTCTCACACTTTTCTTCGGAGTCTCCCAAAGCATACTACCCAGAAAGCATACTACCAAAGTAAGTGAACTTATCCACAGTATCCAAAACTTCTCTATTTGCTGTAACAGATGGTTCCAGGTATGGATGGTGTGGTGATGGCTGATGAAGGGTGTGATACCCTATGTAGACAGAAGGAAGGGAAAGAGAGAGAGAGAGAGAGAGAGAGAGAGAGAGAGAGAGAGAGAGAGAGAGAGAGAGAGAGAGAGAGAGAGAGAAAGGAAGAAAGAAAAGAAAAAGTATGGATCAATTTTCCACTAAAACGCATGGGAGCAAGCACATAAATTTATTTCACTCCATTGGTGACTAAGAAAGTGGGAAAGCATCATCCATTACCCAGAACCTGGGTAAGCATACCACCGTGAAACTGATGCACAATGCTGATGAACTTCTTTGGGCAACCAACTTTTTAAAAAAATTTTTAGGCAATTGGGGTTAAGTAACTTGCCCAGGGTCAAACAGCTAGTAAGTGTCAAGTGTTTGGTCTGAGGCCAGATTTGAACTCAGGTCCTCCTGACTTCAGGGCTGATGCTCTATCCACTGCGCCACCTAGCTGCCCCCTGGGCAACCAAATTTTGACATAATTTTCCACAAGACAATATCAAAGGCCTTGGTCAGATCTATAAACATCGTGTACAGACCTCTGTTCCGCTCCTGGCATTTCACCTGGAGTTGTTGGGCAGCAAACACTGTATCAACTATTCCTCAACTCTTTTTGAAGCCATTCTGGCTCTCAAGTAGATGATCATCTTCCAGGTGAAGGATCAGCCTATTAAGAAGGACTCTGGCAAGAATCTTGCCAGCAGTGACTATAAGAGAGAGACGCCCCTGTGATTCTCATAAGGCAATCTATTTCCTTGACCTTTATAGAGGTGGACAATGGAGGTGTCCTTGAACTCCCAGGGGATAACCTCCTCTTGCCATATAACCCAGAAAATTTCAGTCAGCTTTTGTATGAGCAATGGAAACCCCCCCTCCCCCCACAGTAAATCTCAACTGAAATAGAATCAGTACCAAGTGATTTGCCACATGAAAGGAGCCTAATGGAATTCAAAACCTCTTCTTCAGTTGGAACTTCAGCTAGGGAGGGGTTGACTTCAACCCGAGGTGAACTGTCTTGATGTTTGTGAGTGTTCTGACCCAGATGAGCAAATGCAGTGCCGTACCCCGGATCTCTGGAAGCGGCCCACTCCTTCCCCGCTCCACTGTTGTAGATGGTGTGTTGGCTCAACTTTCTTTCCAAATTAACTACAAACTATTCCTGCTCAGAGAAGGGCTCTAATCTGTTGACATTAATTCTTCTGGTAGGAATTTTGCCTTGGGGCCACTGCTTTTGTTGAATGGGAGAACTTAGCTTGGACAGGATAAGTCTTTGATCAGTCTAGCACTCTGTGCCATACACTGCCTTTGTCACTCTCACATCCTGTCTGTCTCTTCTCCTTATAATCACATAGTCTATTAAATGCCAATGTCGGCTTCGAGGGTGCATCCACAAAGTGTTATTGCATTTAGGTAAATGGAAGACAGTATCGGTGATAAGAAGGTCATGAGATGCGCAAGTCTTCAGTAGTAAGTGACCATTGCTGTTGCTGTTTCCAGCACCATTCCTCTCAAGGACTCCCTTCCATCTCTGGTAGTCTGAGCCTACTCTGGCATTAAAGTCACCCAGAATTAGAAGCTTGTCCTCTTGTGTCACATTGATGATGAGGGTGTCCAGGTCTTCATAACATTTTTCTTTGACCTCATCGGGGTTAGTCATGGTGGGAGCATAGGCTCTGGTGATGGTGGCATGGCGTTGTCCTGCCAGTGGCAATTACATTGTCATGAGCCTGTCATTCAGTCCTTTTGGTGGGCATACAAGCTTGTGGACTAGATTAATTTTGATTACAAAACCTGCACCAGCTTACAATGCTCCCCTTCACTGCGGCCACTCCAGAAAAATGTGTATCCAGCTCTGACTGCAGTAAGCTGGCCTTCATTGGCCAGCCTTGTTTGACTCCGGGCTTCTCTTTGAACTGACACCTGCTGAGTTCTCTTACAACAAGAGCTGCGCAGCTTTCAGGTGTGCTGGATCTCGCATTGTCTATAGGTGTGCACGCATTCCATGTGCGGATGGCGAGTAGAATCTCCTTTGCTTGATGATTCTACACTTGAGATATCTATACTTTTTTTTTTGTATTTTGAGCACAGGGTAGGATCCCTGTCTGCCACAGTAATCAGGCCAGGGCTGGTAAGCAGTTTTTAGGTCATCTCTTGTAGCCCCTTCCTCACATTGGGAGGTGAACAGTTCAGTTCTTCTTCTTCTTCTTCTTCTTCTTCTTCTTCTTCTTCTTCTTCTTCTTCTTCGGCAATTGGGGTTAAGTGACTTGCCCAGGGTCACACAGCTAGTAAGTGTCAAGTGTTTGGTCTGAGGCCAGATTTGAACTCAGGTCCTCCTGACTTCAGGGCCAGTACTCTATCCATGGCGCCACCTAGCTGCCCCGAACAGTTCGATTCTTAAAAGGCTGCTCAGACACCCAGGCGGCTGCTGAATCCCACCGCTGCTCCAGTCTGGTGAGAAGAGGACCTGAAGGCCTGGGCCTCCTGTGTGCAGGGTTGTGACCACAGCTCCCATTGTGTCTGCACCTGACCTTTCATCACTTGCCTGTCACCACAGGACTTTGAGATAGGTAAAATGGTAAAATGGTATGGGTGATGTCCTTTGATGTGTGTGTGATTTGGATTTAAGTGAGTTACGTGAAGTCATCGGCCTCACTCTCTCTTCCAGAGTCATCACAGTCCAGTGGCAGGACAGAGTCAAGAGACTGGTGGTGGCAGTGGGTGACCTTGGTGTCTTTGATGTCTAACCAAGCTCTGAGTGCTCCACTGTGCCTGCTTCAACTGCCTTCGCGGCCATTGGAACAAATTGTTCTCATCCACCCATTCTACCAGGGGAAGTCTTCACAAGCTTCCAACCTTCACTGACCGGTTGGAGACCGCTCAGTTGCCCTCACCCTGGCTTAGCCCATTTGCTGAAACAGTTGACCAGAGCGTGGCCACTGCATATGCCGCAACTTCTTGGAGCCCCAGGTGAGAGACGCGGGAGCAGGTGGACACCAAAGGTGGATGAACAGCCCTGAAAAGGGTTCTGCAGCCCTCACACCAGAAGTACTAGTCTTCCCTAGACACATCCTATGCCCAAGGAGAGAAGTGATGCAGAACCAGGGCAGGAGTTATCGGGGCAGAGAGAGGGGGATGGGTGAGGGATGTCATGGAATAGAAAGATTTGCTAAGTCACTTCACTGAGGCAACATTGAAGTCATGAGCCTGGATGTAGTGAAGCCGTCCCCCACATGCAGCATGGAGGTGTTGTGTGGCTCAAAGGGAGGCAGAATCGATGTCTCTAACCTCTTCTCTCCCTTACCCCAGCCTTCTTCCAGGCAGATATTCTGCCAGGAGGGGAAGCAGGAGATTGAGGCCAGAAGTTTGGCCACTCCATTTTCCTCCTCAGAGAGAGGGGGTATTGAGCTAGAATTTGATCTACCAGCTCCCTTACATTGCTTTAGAGGGTATGTTCCTCAGGTTTGAGCAAAACTTCTGATCACTGTTCTTTAATGGGGAAAGGACCATGCAAGCTCTATATTCAAGACTTGTCTTCCTTCCCACTAAATGCCAGTTCTACAGTGAACACACACAGTAAATAGCTAACAAACCCAGTTATCCAAGTCAGTAGCAAAATAGAAATCATAGAAGGTATACATACACATAAGAATATTCTAGACAATACAGAGTGAATGAACTCTCCCACTAGGAGCGCTCAGCTCAAACAAAAGAGTCTCAAATCTCACCCAAGAAGAAATTACTTACGTCTGTAGTGTAGTAGCCTAAGGATAACAACATGATAAAAGTTGTCTGCTCTTCTACATGTTGGCTTATTCCCAAGATCTTTGTCTTCCTTTAGGGACCTGAAGAGAGGTTGGGGAACGTCATTAGCTCCTATGAATTTAGCTATCATTTCTATGCAGATATCTCCCAGATTTATGTAGCACATCCCAAAAGTTTTAGTGCCGTTTCAAAAAAAAAGTCATCGTATTATTTTATTTTGTTCTTTTTTTAAACTTATGGGATTACTCTAAGGACGAGGAGAACGTAGCACAGATATGAGTGGAGAACTACTGGGAAAAATAAATTGCGATCTAGACAACAAAGAGACCAAAGACAATGCATGCAAATTGACTCATTTGTCTCCAGTCATCAGAGCTTTAACTCTGCAAATACTTGGAGGCACAATCATGCCTATTTTTAAAAAATTTATAATGTATATTGTCCTGGGACACCAAAAGGTATTTCTAATGATTGTGAATGAACAAAGGTTTTGTACCTCATCTCAAGACATTGATTGTGTCTTCTTCTCCACCAGCAACATCAAATGTTGAAAGGAACATAAAAGCAAGCACGCATGTAATTGCACAGTGTTCATAAAGATCTCTTTCATTATTGGTGGGTAGGGCAGCAATAACAGTTAAATACATTTAAACAATGCCTAGGTGACTGCACTACTGAAGCACTGGTAACTAGGTAGATAAACAATTTAATTAGATACTAACTAATTATCTAAATATTTGAAATCCAGCTCCTGTTTATAAGCCCAAGGGTCACATTGGAAATATATTTTAAGGCCAGATGTTCTTCTAGCTCTTCCTTCTCCTCGGGTCTCTTTAGCCGTATTAAGCATCCAGCTCCAAGGCGAGCCCACATTTGTGACCTCTTCCCATCCACCAGGACAGATAGTAAACTTCCCACCAGGTCTCAAGGTCTGAGTAAAACCTACTCCAATTAAACAAGAATTGTTGAAGAAATAGAAACAGTGGGATGCAAATGCTATTCGGCTGCAATGTCAAAGGGAGTGCCGCTGGTGTCTGATGTCTAGGCGAGGTTTACCAAAGCATCGACACCATCGCGCCCTTTCTGAGGAACCGAACCTCCAGATTCTGTTCCCTCATCGACAGCAGTGGGCAGCTGGAAGTCTCCAGCCCTGTAATCCACAGCAAAGTTATTCCTTGTCAACTTTGACTTCCCACCATCAGGGTTTTTTCCTATCTGTAACACAAAGGCAATAATACCTCTAGTACCTAACTCATGGGGTAGTTATGAGGTTTGGCGGGAACAGCACGTGCAAAGTACATTGCCAGCTGCAGAGGTTGTGAGGAATGTCGGCCCTGATTTCGATTACTGTCACGGTGATTGAAGGGGGACAGGACATGGAGTAGTGACTCAAGGGCCCATCATGGATGATTCTAGCATGGCCTCCTATGTAACCTGCTAAAGACTAAAACTCCCCTAGGATTTTGGGGACACCAACAATTTAAATGTTATTGTTACTATCCTGTATACTCGGCTGATTTCTTTGCCAATGGGACTTCACATGGTTAGTCCACTTTTTGCCAGCAGAGGGCACCATGAGTTCATGCAATGCTGTCACCAGCGCCACAATTCACCTGCTAAAACAGACTGTACAATACTGCAAGGAAAAGGGGAGGGAATAAGCATTATGCAGCACCTACTACGTGCCGCTCATTGTGCTAAATGTCTTTACAAATATAAGCTCATTGAAGACTCACAACAATCCGATGAGGTAGGTGCTGTTATTCCCATTTTACGTTGGAGGAAACTGAGGCAAACAGGTTAAGTAAACTAGCCCAGGGTCACCCTGCCAGTGTCTGCTATCAGATTTGAACTCAGGTCTTCCTGATTCCAGGTCCAGGGCTCTGGGCTCTACGGCACCACCTAGCCAAGTCCAAGTTCTAGCCGGTCCAGCTAGCCTGGCTCTCAGCCGTCCTGAGTGTCAAAGGCAAAGAGCAACAGAGTCCCTCCTTTTTTTCCTCCTTGCTGCCCATCCAAATTCTGTTTGTCCTTTCACGGTCCAGACCAGGTCCCATCATCTCTAGGGGGTCTTCCTTGACTGCTGCAAGCTATGTCTTCTCTCCCTTCTCAGATGTCCTCCTGCCCTTGGGGTCTGAACCACACCATCCAGCCCTTGTTCTTCGCTCTCTGGTGGATAGGGGCTGGACTTGGAATCAGAAAGAACAGAGGGAAAATCCTGCTTCAAATACTTGCTACCTGTGGGACCATGGGCACTCTGGCCTCTCTCTCCCTTAGTTTCCCCATCTGTAAAATTAGGTATGGCGTTTAAGGTCACTTCAATCTTATGATCTCTTCCTCCCTCCACATACAGTATGAACTGGAAGTAGGGCCTATCTCCTATTTCTCCTTCGGTTACCATCACAGTTATAGGAATAATAGCTGACCTTCTCAGAGCCCTTTAATGTAATGTATTTTGCACGCGTGATTTCCTTTAAACCTCAGGACTATCCTGTGGAGGGTAGATACTAGAGGTATCATTGTCCTTGTGTCACAGATGGATAAACTGAGGCTCAGAGAAATGCATTGAAGTTCCCTGGTCTTCCGAGTTAAGTAAACGTCCCTGGTGGAATCAAACACAGATCTTCCTGTGTCCTTCACATCCTGTATTCTACCCACTCTGGCACATTGCCTCTTGTCCAGGAATCTTCAGCCTCTTTGGTGACTTGGCCTCTGTGGGTAGTATCTACCGAAGTCTTCAGACCCCTTCTCAGAAGAACGTCTTTAAATGAATAAAATAAACCGTAACAGCAATACTGTACGACTGTCAACTGTTAATGACTTAGCCAGTTTCAGCAATACAATGATCCAAGACAATTCCAAAGGACTCGTGATGAAAAATGCTATCCACCTCTAGAGAGAGAGAACTGATGGCGTCTAAATGCAGATGGAAGCATACTATTTTCACTTTGTTTTTTTTTAATCTGTGTTTTCTTTCACAACATGACTAATATGGAAATATGTTTTATGTGATTGCAAATTTATAACATCAAATTGCTTGCCTTCTCAGGAAGGGGAGAAAGTGGGGAGGGAAAAATAAAATATTATTTTTTAAAAAATGAAAGATCCCATCAGCCTCAGGACTCCACCTCATCACTGTCTTCTGCCCTTCTAATTGGAGGGTGGAGTCATGAACTCAAAACCTCCTTTTAAGAAGTGTGAGCTTGGGGGCAGCTAGGTGGCATAGTGGAGAGAACACAGGCCCTGGATTCAGGGGGACCTGAGTTCAAATCTGGCCTTAGACACATAAAGCTTACTAGCTGTGTGGCTCTGGCCAAGTCATTTAACCCCATTGCCTAGCCAAAAAAAAAAAGTGTGAGCTTCTTGAGGGTGCAGGGACCATGGCTTTGCCTTTCTTTAAAAGCTCTTTTCCTCCAGGAAGTCTTTCCTAATTACTCCTCCCCCCCTCCAATCCCAGACTCCTCATTCAATGTCTCCTCAATACTAGGAACTCAATATGTCATTTCTCTGCCTATTGAGATTCTGGAACTCATCCTCAATGCCATCTCCCAGTGTAGGTTCTTGTCACCTCCCACCTGGACAATTGAAATAGCAGCTGGTTAGGCTCACTGCTGCAAATCTCTCCTTACTGTCTTCCCCTAAGCTACCAAAGCGATCTTCCTAAAGCACAGGGCTGACCAAGTGCCGTGGAATTCCCTCCCTCTGCCCCACTCAGTAACTCCAGTGGCTTCCCAGTACCCTAACCTTCATAACTGGTCCCCTTCTGCCTCTCCAATCTTCTTACTCCATGTACTCTGCCATCCAAAGACACTGACCTTCTGACTGTTTCCACCAGACACTCTATCTCCTGTCTCTGTCTTTGCATCCACTGTCCCCTATGCCTGGAATGCTGTCACTCTTCATCTCTTCCTCCTGGCTGCTTTGGCTTTCTTTAAGTCTCAGACATGCCTTCTGAAGGAGCCTTCTCCTTGTCCCTTCCCCCTGAGATGACCTGCCATTTACATTCTACATAACTTGAATGTACATAAGTGTTTGCTTGTGTTCTCCTCTATCAAAATGTGAGCTCCCCAAGGGCAGAACTATGCTTTTGTCTTTGTATCCCAGCATTTAGGTTTGGAGGGTACATGCTTCACACTTAAGAAATGCTTATTGACTGACTCCTCTGGGAAGCCTTCTCTCTCTCTCTCTCTCTCTCTCTCTCTCTCTCTCTCTCTCTCTCTCTCTCTCTCTCTCTCTCTCTCTCTCTCTCCCCCCCCCCTTATGTGTGTGTATCTGTGTGTCTGTGTCCATGTCTTGTCCAAGAGCACAAGGCTTACAGGTATATGGTCTCAATTTGAGTTCCACCTCTTTCACTTAGGGGTCATGGGACCAAAGTATGATTTTCTCATCTGTAAAATGGCTATAATAAGACATTATCCACTTCATGGTATTACTGAGGGAAATGCCACAGTGCAGTGGGAATAGCGCTGGCTCAAGACTCATGGAACCTGAGTTCCAAGCCCACCTGTGATGTTGGCTCCCTAGGTGACTTTCAACAAGTCGCTCAGCCCTCCCTACTTAGTTTCTTCGTGTGTAAAATGAGGAGGTTGCATTCAATGACTGCTGAGGTTCCTTCCACTCTAGGTCTGTGGTCCTATGAGGAGACTCTCCCTCTCCAAGGCCAAGTTTCCTCATTTGTAAAATGAAGGAATTGTACAAGATGACTTTTGAGAGCCACAGCTACAGAGCCATGAGAGTGAACTCCTAAGCTGGTTATAGACATGCCAGCTGGTATTATGCATGCCTCTCTTGTGCACTGGCCCCACTTTCTTCTCCCCTTATAAAATACTCAAAGAATCAAGTGAATCTATGATCTCAGTGATTTGCATTTCCCCTCTAATGGCTCAACCCATCCATGCCCATACCCAATGCAAGACCTACATTCAAATTCCGTTTCTGTGTTAACTTCCAAGCCTCAGTTTAATTATCTGTAAGGGAACACCCACAGCGCTCACTCCTCAGGGTTGTTATGAAGACCAAATGACAGACTATATGTAAGAGACTTTGCAGCCTTTGAAGTGTAACATGATTGCTGGCATTTATT